TAAAGGAGCTCCAGTTCTTCTGGCAACAGATTTCTTAATGGAAACCACACAGGCCAGGAGGGAATAGGACAATATTTTCACAGTGCTGAAAGAAAGAAACTGCCATGCAACAAAACTATCTCCAGCAAAGCTATCCTTCAAATACGAAGAGGAGATAACATCTTTCCTAGACAAACAAGAGGTGAGGGGATTCACCACCACCAAACATGTCTTACAAGAAATGCTAAATGGAATTCTTTAATCTCAAAAAAACGCACAACATTAATGCACAAGAAGAAAACATTGGAATATATAAAACCCACTGATAAAATTAAGTATACAGACAATCCAGAATATTCTAATACTGTCATTGTGGCATGCAATCCACTCATAACACTAGTATAAAGTCCAAAAGACAAATCTATCAAGAATGATAATGTCTACAGAAACTTCTTAAGAGATAAACAATATAAAAATATGTAAATTGAGACAACATAAAGTCAAAACATGAGGGGAGATGGAGTTAAAGTGTAAAAGTTTTTTTCATTTTTATTTATGTTTTCTTATTCTTTTCTTTGTGATCCTAGATAACTTGTCATTCATTAAAATCACTTGTCATGTCTATAAGATATTTTTTGTAAGCCTCATGGTAACTACAATGCAAAAACCTATAATAAATTCACTAAAATAAAAAGCAACCAATTAAAAGATACTACCAGAGAAACATCACTTAATTGCAAAGGAAGACAGTAAGAAAGGAAGAAAGAAGAAAAGGAGTTATAAAGCAACCAGAAAACAAGCAACAAAATGGTAGTAGTAAGCCCTTAATTATCAATAATAACACTGAATGTAATCAGACTCAATTCTGTTGCAAGGCATACAGTGGCTGAATGGACAAAGAGGCAAGACTCAACTATATGCTGCCTACAAGAAACCAACTTCACCCATAAAGACACACATACACTGAAAGTGAAAGAGTAGAAAAAGATATTCCATACAACTGGAAACTATGAAGACCAGGAGTAGCTATACGTACAACAGATAAAATAGATTACTAATAAAAGACAATAAAAAGGAAAATGGTTTAATAATAATGATGAAGCAGTAAATTTAGTAAGGGGATAAAATAACTATAAATATCTGTGTAGCAAAACACCAGAGTTCCCAAATATATAGAGCAAACATAAATAGATCTAAAGAGAGAAATAGACTGCAATACAATAACAGGGACTTCAACACCCATCTCTCAGGAATAGACAGCTCATTCAGATGGAAAATCAACAAAGAAACATGTAAACTACACACAAGACCAAATAAGCCTTACTGACAATTACATAACATTTCACCTAACTAGTGTAGAATACACATTCTTTTAATCAGACATGGATGATACTCCAGAACGGACCAAATCATAGGCCATAAAGAAAAGTCTCAATGAATTAAAAAAAGTAGAAATCATATCAAGTATCTTTTCTGACCACAACAGAATAAAACTAGGCATCAATAATAAGAGGAACCTCTAAAAATACATGAACACATGAAAATTAAACAGCGTGCTCCTGCATAACTGATGGATCAATGAAGAAATTCAGAAGGAAATTAAAATATTCCTTGAAACAAGTGAAATGGAAATACATCATACCAAAGTCTATGGGATAGAACAAAAGAGTATTTAGAGGGAAATTTATAGCAATAAACACCTATGTCAAAAAGTAGAAAGACTTCAACTAAACAACCTAATGATGCACCTCAAGGAACTAGAAAAGTAAGAACAAACCAAATCCCAAATTAGTAGAAGAAAAGAAACAATAAATATCAGAGAAGAAATAAATAAAATTGAGACTAAAAACCAATATAGAAGATCAACAAAATGAAAATGTGCTTTTCTGAAAAGATAAACAAAATCAACAAACCTTTATCTAGACTAAGAAATAAAAGAGAGAAGACCCAAATTAACAAAATCAGAAATGAAAAAAGGAGACATAACAACTGAGAATGCAGAAATGCAAAGAATCAATAGAGACTATTACAAACAACCATGGGCCAACAAATCAGAAAACCTAGAAAAAAGTGCATAAATTCCTGGGCACATACAAGCTACCAAGATTGAACCATGAAGACACAGAAAACTTCAATAAACCAATGGTGAGTAATGAGACTGAGGCCACAATAAAAATTTGTGATAAATCAAAGCCCAAGACCTGATGGCTCCACTACTGAATTCTACCAAACATTGAAAGAACTAATACCAATTCTACTCAAAGTCTTCAAAAAATCAAAGAGAAGGGAACACTCCCAAACTCGTTCTGTAAGGCCAGCATTGCCTTAAATGCCAAAACCAGGCAAGGAGAAAACAAACAAATAAAAAACTACAGGCCGATATCCCTGATGAACATAGATGCAAAAATTCTCAACAAAATACTAGCAAACAAAATTCAACAGCACATTAAAAGGATCATTCACCATGATTTAGTGGGAATCATCTCAAGGACACAAGGATGGTTCAACAAACACAAAGCAATAAATGTGATACATCACATTAACAGAGCCAAAACCAAAAAACGTATGATCGTTTCAATATATGATGAAAAATTTAATTGAATTCAATAAAATTTATCACCTCTTAATGATAAAAATCCTCAACAAACTAGGTGTAGAAGGAACATACCTCACTAAAGGAAGCTGAAGCGAGCCGTCCCAGAGTCAGATTGGCTGAGACCCCAAGTCAGCAGAACGGGAGCCCATTGCTTTTTCCCACAATTAGCAGGACGTGGCTTGCTGACTGGCTGAAGAAACTTTCTCCAGGCAAAGGGCCAAGGACCTAAGGCCTTGCATGCGAGCCAAGGTTGTCGGGTAACCAGCACGCGGTGCTAGGCACTTGCAAGATGGTCTAGAATTCAAGGTCTCGCACTCGAGCCGAGATTGTTTGTTATCCGAAAGCAGTACAAAACATCAAAGAGACCTCTTGTAGAAGGCCATGCTTTTTGCTTTGACTGGAAAAGCAGGTGTTGTTGGCCGTGGGAAGCCACGTACCAAAAAGTAGGTGGGAAAGTAGCTGGCATGAGAAAATAGCTGCGGGACGCTTGCCCAATTAAACCGTATATAATAAAATTGACGAGCACTTTTCCGATGCTGCAGTCCAAAACCGTCTCTTGTCTCTGTGTCCTTTTTTATTCCGGGGCTGCTGCCAATTCTGTCTGTCTGCGTCTTAAGTATATGTTCTGTGTATGTCATCCCCCGTTCTGTAATTGGGCCATGACACCTCACAATAATAAAGGCCATATGTGACAAGCCCACAGCTGAATGCAGAATAATTGAAAAACCTTTCCTCTAAGACCTGGAAGAAGACTAGGTTGCTCACTTTCACCATTTTTATTCAACATAATACTGGAAGTTCTGGCCAGAGCAATTAGGCAAGAGAAATAAATAAAGGGCATCCAAATTAGAATGAGAGAAGTTAAATTAGTCTTGTTCACAGGTGACATGGCCTTATACTTAGAAAAACCTAAGGACTCCACAGGAAAAAAAAAAAAACTGTTAGAAGTGATAAACAAATTCAGTAAAGTAGCAGGATACAAAATCAACATACAAAAATCAGTAACATTTTATACACGCAAACAGGAAATAACCTAAAAAAATAAAAAAAAATCCCATTTACAATGCGATTACATCTAAGACCTGAAACTATGGAACTACCAGAAGCAAACATTTAGGAATTGCTCCAGGACATTGGTCTGGCCAAGGATTTTTTTGTGTAAAACCTCAAAAGCGCGGGGAACCAAAGCAAAAATAGACAAATGGGATCACATCAAGCTAAAAAGCTTCTGCACAGCAAAGGAGACAATCAACAAAGTGAAGAGACAACCCACGGAATGGGAGACAATATTCGCACCCTATCCATCTGATAAAGGATTAATAATCAGAATATATAAGAAGTTCAAACAAATCAATAGCAAAAATCAAATAATCCAATTAAAAATGAGCAAAAGATATGAATAGATATTTCTCCAAAAAAAGACATAGCAGTGGCCACTGGTATATGAAAAAATGCTCAACATCATGAACCATGAGAGAAATGCAAATGAAAACTACAATGGGATATCATCTCACCCCAGTTAAAATGGCTTTCATTAGAAAGGCAGGGAATAGCAGATGCTGGCGAGGATGTGGAGACAGGGGAACCCTCATGCACTGTGGGTGGGAATGGGAATTAGCACAGTTACTATGGAGAACAGGGTGTGGGTTCCTCAAAAAGCTAAAAATAGAAGTACCATGTGATCCAGCAATTCCACTACTGTGGATATATCCAAAAGAAAGCAAATCAATATACAGAAGAGATTCCCGCCTGCCCATGTTTGTTACGGCGCTACCCACAATAGCCAAAATATGGAATCCACCTACGTGCCCAGCAATGGACGAATGGGTAAAGCAAATGTGGTATGTATGCACCATGAATATTAATCAACCCTAAAAGAGAAAGAAACCGTGTCATTGGCAATGCTATGGACGGCACTGGAGGTCGCTATGTTAAGGGAGCTAAGCCAAGCACAGGAATGCAAACATGGCGTGTTCCCACTCATATGTGGGAGCTGAAACAGTGGATGTCAGGAAGGGAGAGAATAGGTGGGTGGTTAGCAGAGGAAGGGTGGAGGTTGCGGAAGGCCAGAGGAACGGAGGCCAGAGAGGAAACCGAGGCCAGAGCGGGCCGCCTTGCGGCCAACAGGTGCTTCCCTGGTACGCGGCTGCCAGGGCCCGGGGCCCAGGGCGCGGCTCCCAGGCGGGCGTGCAGGAGGCAGCCACAGGGCGGGGCGGGGGACCCAAGTGGACTCTGGTGGGCCCTGGGCTGGCGGGGCCACCAGCCCCAGAGGCCGGCGGCTAATTGGTAGCATGGGCAGCTCTGCCAGCAGGGCGGGTAATTGGGCCCCGGAGTCCCCGCGCTCCAGCAGGAAAAGCTGTTCCTCCAGGCGCCCTGGCGGCCACTCCTCAAGAGCATCTCGGGCTCATCTAGCGCCTGTGGCCAGCCGGGAGCCACTGGACGCCGGGCGCAGCCCTCCTCGCTCCCGGGCAGCTGCAGCCGCTGGTTGGCGCTGAGGCGTCCAGACCCCAGGTAGGACCCAGGGCTTCCCGTGATGACGATGGGCTCATTTTGCTGAGACGTTAGGGTGCGTCGCAATATACGTAACCTTAACATCGTGTACCCCCACAATATGCTGAATAAAAAAATAATTATATATAAAAAAAAGAAAACCCAAGGAAAGTGGAGATTTCCTTACCCCGGGATGGAAGTGTCTGGGGTGGGAGGGGTGCCGCGGTGGCTTGCATGGAGGTAGGGCTGTGCCTGTATATATGAGACCAACACCCCCACTGCACGTGCCCCACACCCAGTTCGGGGCAGGCTCTACCCTGTCCAGTCCGATCCCAGCACCCAGCATGATGGCTCTGGGTGCTCCATAAACGGCCCTCATATCTTTGAGGACAGTACTGTGCTGAGTACACATCTGCGGGTACTGTGCTGAGTACACACCTGTGGGTGCTGTGTGAGCACGCATTTACAGGTGCCATGCTGCACCCTGATGTCTGACATCTCACCCAGCCTGGCCAGCAGTGCCATGGGGCTGAGCAGTGCCATGGGGACGAGCAGTGCCGGTGGGCCGAGCGGAGCAGGGCACAGCTGCTCCTGCGTCATAGCGAAGGGCCAGCACTGGGCGGTTCTGCCTGGTGCCAGGGAAGGGTTGGAGCAAAGGGCTGGGGCCAGCGGCAGGTGCAGAGCTGTGGGAGAAGCCACCGCGGCACCCCTCCCACCCCAGACACTTCCATGCTGGGGTACGGAAATCTCCACTTTCCTTGGGTTTTCCTGGTTTTTTTATAATTTTTTTTTTATTTCGGCATATCTTGGGATACAAATGTTAAGGTTACGTATATTGCCCTTGCCACTCCTCCCCCCTTGAGTCGGAGCTTCAAGCGTGACCATCCCCCAGATGGTACACACCACACTCATTATGTATGCATATACCCGTCCCCTCCTCCCCCTCCCACCTGCCCGACCCGCAATAAATGTTATTCCTATGTGTCCACTTAGGTGTTGATCAGTTAGGGAAAGCAGTATGGAGATGCCTTAAAGCGATACAAGTAGATCTACCATCTGATCCAGCAGTCCCACTACAGAGCATCTACCCAAAAGAAAAAATGACACTACAAAAAAGACATCTGCACTCGAATGTTTATAGCAGCACAATTCACAACTGTAAAGTTGTGGAAACAACCCAAGTTTCTAGGGTTTTCTTAAAGTACCTGAGTTTGGCCGGGCGCGGTGGGTCACTCCTGTAATCCTAGCACTCTGGGAGGTCGAAGCGGGCAGATTGCTTGAGGTCAGGAGTTCGAAATCAGCCTGAGCAAGAATGAGACCCCGTCTCTACTATAAATAGAAAGAAATTACTTGGCCAACTAATGTATATAGAAAAAATTAGCCGGGCATGGTGGCCTATGCCTGTAGTCCCAGCTACTCAGGAGGCTGAGGCAGGAGGATCGCTTGAGCCCAGGAGTCAGAGGTTGCTGTGAGCTAGGCTGATCCCACCGCACTCACTCTAGCCTGGGCAACAAAGTGAGACTCTGTCTCAAAAAAAAAAAAAAAAGGACCTGAGTTTGAGTGTGGTGACCGGGCAAACACGCTCATTTTAGCCCTGAGGAGAACTGTTTGCAAGGACAGAACCCTGGCTCCCCCTCCCATCCCCCTGGCCTTTTGGTTTCTGCGCAGAAACCAGGGAGGCACGGCCAGGTGTAAAACACCAGACTTCCCAAGGCAGCGTGGGGCCCTGGCACACGGGAAGGGCATTGGAGGAAACAGACGGAAGCCGGCGCACCTGGAGCTCAGTGCGCAGCAGCGGCGTGCCACGGTCCATCCCTCCACACACGCCGCTCACGCGACACGTCCCGAGGAGGCTGGCCGGCCGGGCTGCGAGGACGCTCTCTCTTCTCAACTTCTCTGTAGGTCTGAAATCATTCCAAAACGAAGAGTTTATTTGCAGGAAAGTACAGCCATTGTCTGAAGTTCAGGTGATAGAGAGCATGTTGTAAGGGGACCTGGACTAATAAATACATGCAATTTTTATTTAAGTGGCCAACTCATTAATGGCCACTTCCCACTGCCCAAATACTCAGCACAGACCTGTAGGGGCCTCTGCCGTCCTGGGGGAAAGCACGAGACCCCGAGACCCTCGGGCAAAGCCCGTCCACAGGCGGGGACCACCGGCCTTCCCAGGACCCCTGGGGCCTCCGGATCCCTTCCTGTGGACTTTAAAGCCCCTGTAGTCACTCAGCTGGGAAGGGGACAAGCCGCCCGTGGTGGTGTCGGGAGAGGCACCACCCAGGATCAGACCGCCAGGCCCTCTGACGCAGGAGGCAGTCGCCGTGTGTGCTCTAAAACAATGGTGACTTTTGGCTGCGATCCTGGGGCACGGCTCCTGCTCTTGAAGCAGGTCCCAGCTCTGGACAGAGGCTGGCGTCGGAAGGCAGGGAAGGGTGTCACCAATGGATTCTCACACAGGGCTCACCCTTAGCAGGGGGAGTACAGAGGTGGGAAATTCCTTTCTAGAATATTCTTTCTCAGCCCAGAACTCTCCCATCAACTGCAGACTTGTAGAGCCAGCACCCCTCATGTCACCGAGTCTGTCCAGCAAATGCCTGGTGCCATGCCTCTGGCACCCAGGCAGCCTGCCCTGCTCTCGTCCTTCCAGGGACCTGGGCCATGACCCGGTCGGCTCTCTGCTCTTCACCTCCCCACTGCTGTGCCAGCGTCCTGGGGCTGCCACAAAACTCGGGGTGGGGGGCTTAAGACAAAACAAACTTGCTCTATCACAGTTCCGGGGGACACAAAGTGAAGATCCAGATGTCAGAGCTAGGTTCCCTCTTAAGCCTCTAGGGAGGGTCCTTCCCGCCCCCTCCGGCTTCTGGGGGCTCGTGGGGTCTTTGGCTTGTGGCCACATCACTCCACTCTGTGCCCCCGTCTTCACGTGGCCTGTTCCCCTGTGTCTCTCTATGTGACATTTTCTATCTCTTATAAGGACACTGGCCGTCGCATTTAGGGCCCTGTCAGCAAGAAGGATGCAAGAAAGTCGTGAGCTCTGAGTCAGTCTCAGGAAGGTCACTCTGCACTCCAGAGACGCTGGCGGGGAGGGGGCTCCACTCAGACTGAGCCAGGCCGGGAAGGGAAGGCAGGAATCCTGGAGTCTGGGGCGTCCCTGTCCCTGCATTCTGGGGGACTCAGTTCTCAGAGGTCTTGACTTTTCACGTCTGCGGGCACCTGGGTGTTCCTGGATTGTCCCGTCCAAATCAAAATGCTGCCGATGGAATTGCTCTCAGCAACCCGTAGCAGCCTCTGCTAAAAGGAGCTTCCCTGAGTCCCCTCGGCCGCCATGCCCTTAGCCCGGGGCCCCTCCAGAGGCCAGCACAGGCGTGTCACTGAGGCACCTCGTCCTGGTCACAGCCCACCTGACCTGAGTCCTCACCGTGCCAAGGCCCCACGTGAAGCGTGCAGTGTCTGTTTCACCCTCAGAGTGGCAGTCAGGTGGGCACGGCAGTTTGTGTGTCTGGGACAAAGACACGTCGACCCCTGAGCTTGAGTGATGGGCCGGGTGTCATGCCAGGGACGGCAGGAGACTAGCAGGGCTGGGTGCCCAGGTGGGGCAGAACCGTCCTGAGGGTGCTTTGCTGGCATGGGGAGGAGTGTGGGAGTGCGCAAGGCAGGGGGCAGGGGGTAGGGGACAGGGGATAGGGGACAGGGGGTAGGAGACAGGGGACAGGGGGCAGGGGAGCCACAGAGCCAGAGGCCAGAGGCCAGGGTGGGGTGTGGGGAGGAAGCCATCTGCTCGCAGCCCAGGGCAAGTCGGCAGTCCCTGCCGTGAGAGGGGCTCCTGGAGAAGCCCCTGGTGGCCGGACTCCTGCACCCGGGCCAGTGTCGCTCTGGGTATTTGGTGGGAAAATGAGTCACCTCTGCCTCTGCTCAGCCCTCCCCTGCTTGCTGCCTGCCAGACCCGCCTCTGGTACAGCGGCCTTGGCATGGGTGCCCCCTTCCAGCTGTGAGCCGCCCGAGGTCGCCGCCTGCCTGCCTAAACCGCCCAGTGAAAACGGCCGCCAGGCTGTCCTCTGTCTGTCCCCTCCTGTGGGCCTGGCTCTGGGAGCCTGCAGCCCCTCCCCAGGGCCCCTCTGCACTCGGCTGTCCAGCCCGGGCGGGGTCCGTGCTGGCTGGTAGCCCTGAGTGTGCGCTGAGGCCGCTGCCCTGACTGTGGCAGCTCCCAGGGCTGCGCGGGGTGCTCTGCGTCCTCGCCCTCTGGGATCTGGAAGACCCATCGTCCTCCCACTGGGACGCGCCCCTGGTCTTGAGCTCTGGGTCTCGCCTGCCCAGAGCCCCCGCCTGTCTCAGTTGTGGGTGTCGCCTGGACCGGCCCCCGGGGCGCGCCCTGCTGCAGCAGCTCCTGGGAGACAAGTCACCTGGGCAAGGGCAGTGCCCTCACGTTGTTTCCTGCCTGTCTCTCTCTGTGGTTTTATTTGCCTGCATGTTCTCGCAGAAACCTTCTCCAGCCAGGGCACTCACGTCCTCCCTGCCTCGTCTTTGGGTTCGTTTTCGAGTTTTCCAGACCGGGGCCCCCGTCTGGTCCGTGGCCCAGCCCACCTACCAAGAGGGGTGAGGGGCTCGCTTCACAGAGCCCCCGTCAGCCCGTCAGCCCGTCCTGACCTGCCCTCACTCCCCATGAAGCCCGTGATGCGCTCAGCCCAGCGCCCCTCACTCACGTGCGTTTGGCCGCCACGCCCGTCTCCCCCCACCACTGTGCCCGACATCTGCGGCTCTCAAGAGCTGAGGTCCTGGCTCTCAGCTAGTCCTTCCGCTGCCGCTCTGCTCCAGTAGTGTCCTGGGCCCCCCGGGCCTCAGTTTCCCCATGCTCCAGCAGACTTTGCAGCTGCCCCTGTGGTCTTCTCCAGCTGGAAAGGCAGTGATATCTCTGTGTGAGTGTGCATGTATGTTTGCCTATGTGTGTGATGGTGGGTGAGTGTGTGTTTATGTGTGAGTGCACACATGTCTGTGCATGGGTGTGTGGGGTGTGTGCATGTGTGTGAGTGCATGCATGTCTGTGCATGGGTGTGTGGGGTGTGTATGTCTGCACATGTGAGTGTGTGTGCTTGGACATGTGTATAAGGGTGTGTGAGCACGTGTATGCATGCGAGTGTGAGTGACCGTGTGTGCGCACACGCTGGCTTGGGGCCGGTGGGAGCAGCAGCCACACAGCGCAGAGGTGCGGCGCCCCCTCCCTGGCAGATTGGCTCGCCCAGCGGCCCCCAGGAGGAGGCACCATGGCCTGGCTCACACGTGTGCGCCTTCCCCATGGAGACCTGTCCACGCCATGGCACGCTCTAGCCCTGTAGCAGAAGACAAATGCCAGCCTGGCCATATGTAACTTTCAAGGGAAAAATTAAATAAGCATCGTAGTGACTTGCATGCCTGAGGTGGTAGTGGGAGTGGGTGCTAGGGTCGCTGGGGGACCCACGGCTGGTGTCAAACCAGGCCCCAAACCCACAGCAGAACAGGGAGACCCACGCTGCGCTGGCCACCCCAGTGGGTGGTGCAGACGCCTCCCGCCATCCTTGCACCTGACGGCTGTGTCCTCTCTTCCTCCCTCCCGCCTCATCGGTCGGCTGGCTGACACAAGCACGCAGCACTGTCCTCTTGGTGTCTGGAGATCTTTCTCCCTGCTGTCCCCATCTGTGGGCACGACTCACCCCGAGCTTCAGCTCCACTTTCTCCCCTTCCAGGCTGCCCTGCAGCCCTTCATCTCTGGTGTCTTGCAGGCCCCGGCTCCCAGCACAGAAGGATGAGGGGGGAGAATGTCACCAAGGTCAGCACGTTCGTGCTGGTGGGCTTCCCCACGGCGCCCTGGCTGCAGTATGTGCTCTTCCTCCTCTTCCTGCTCACCTACCTCTTTGTCCTGGTGGAGAACCTGGCCATCATCCTCACCGTCTGGGGCAGCACCTCCCTCCACAGGCCCATGTACTACTTTCTGGGCTCCCTGTCATCCTTGGAGATCTGGTATGTGTGTAACATCATACCCAAGATGCTGGACGGCTTCCTCCTGCAGCGGAAACGCATCTCTTTCGTCGGGTGCATGACGCAGCTCTACTTCTTCATCTCCCTGGTGTGCACGGAGTGTGTGCTGCTGGCCTCCATGGGCTACGACCGCTACGTGGCCATCTGCTACCCGCTGCGCTACCACGTTATCATGACCACGAGGCTGTGCGTCCAGCTGGTGGTCTTCTCCTTTGTGAGTGGCTTCACCGTCTCCGTGATCAAGGTCTACTTTATCTCCAGCGCCACGTTCTGTGGCTCCAATGTCCTGAACCACTTCTTCTGTGACATTTCCCCCATCCTCAAGCTGGCCTGCACGGACTTCTCCACGGCAGAGCTGGTGGATTTCGTCCTGGGCTTCATCATCCTGGTGTTCCCTTTCCTGGCCACCGTGCTGTCCTACGGGCGCATCACCCTGGCTGTCCTGCGCATCCCCTCAGCCACCGGCCGTTGGAGAGCCTTCTCCACCTGCGCCTCTCACCTCACTGTGGTTGCCATCTTCTATACGGCCATGATCTTCATATACGTCCGGCCCCAGGCCATCGATACACGGAGCTCTAACAAGCTCATCTCTGCTGTGTACACTGTCCTCACCCCCATCCTGAACCCCTTGATCTACTGTCTGAGGAACAAGGAATTTAAGGATGCCTTGAAAAAGGCCTTGGGCTGGGGTCGAGCCTCACAGTAGGACCATGAAGCCACGTAGAATGTGGTTCGTGGTGGTAAAACAGCATCACACGTGGCACTTTGTACTCTTAATTAATTTTTAAATGTAATTATAACAAACCACAAAACTGCACAATGCCGAGCCTTCTTCTGGATGTGTTTTCACTAAAGGACTGGCCAGAGCAAGGAGCTTCCCTCAGGTCTTTCCGTCACTGTCCCTGCGCCGGAAGAACCGTTATCCTGACTTTCAGAGCTGGTTTTTGAGGGTTTTATGAATGTAATCACGGAGTTTTTACCCACAACATTCAGCCTCTTTCCCTCACCACGATGCTTGGGTGAATCCTGGATGGGTTTGCAGGCAGCAGCAGTTCGAGCATTCTCACTGCCGTGGGATACTTGCGTATTTCAGGATGCATTTATGCGTTTTATTGTGTGGACAGTAGGTGGCGACTCTCTATTACGAATAATGCTGCTATAAGCGTCCTAGTTTACATCTTTTGATTAATATGCACACAGTTTTGTGGGCTGGGCCTATGTGCACACGGCTATACCAGCTTATAATCACGGCAAGGTAATGGATGTGTGCGGTCGGGCTTAGCAGAAAATGGAAAGATGTTTTCCAAAGTGAGCGTGCCGGTTTTCATTCCCTCTAGCAATATCTGAGAATTCCAGTAGCTCCATCTCCTGACCAACACTTGTAAGTCTTACAAATGTTTTCCAATTTGTCTGCCCTGCTCGGGTTGTAAGGGCAGCTCACTGGGACTCTAATAGGCACGCCTCCCATGACGGGTGATGCTGGGCAACTTTTCAACATTTAGTGGCTTGATGCCCTTTCTGAAGGGCCCATTCAAGTCTTCTCATTATTTTTATATGGAGTCTCTTTCTATTTTTAACTCACAGGAGTTCTCATACATTCTGGATCCAAGCCCTCTGCTGGCTGTATTTATTGCAAAAATGCTTCTCCGTTTGGACGTTGCCCTTTATTTCTAATGGTGTCTTTTTCTTTTCTTTTTTTTTAGTGGACACTTCAATTAATTTGCATGTCATCCTTGCACAGGGGCCGTGCTAATCTTCTCCATATCGTTTCCAATTTTGGTACATGTGCTGCCGAAGAGAGAAGCACATTCACGAAGTTTTTTGATGAAAGAGAAGTTCTTTTATTTTGATTGTCCGTGTGTGCTGTTTTCCATTAAGAAACCTCTTGTCTCTCCCAAGGTCATGAAGATATTCTCCTGTTTCATTCTAGAAGCTTCTGTTTTTGTTTCCATTTTAGAGTTGTTACCACTATTTGAAATTAATTTTTTTTCGAGGAGTCTCATCTGTTGCCCAGGCTTAGGTGTGTCACGACAGGACCCTTTGCCCACTAGGGGCTCCAGTCTTTTTTTTTTTTTTTTTGAGACAGAGTCTTCACTCTGTTGCCAGTGCCGGTGGTTCAGCCTAGCTCACAGGCAACCCAGACTCGGGCAAGTCTCCTCCTGCCTCAGCCTCCTGAGTAGCGGACTACAGGCATCGCACCATGCCTGGCATTTTCTATATATTTGTAGTGCCAGATAATTTCTTCTCTATTTTTAGTAGAGAGGGTAGTCGTCTCTGGTCTAGGTGGTCATTAACTCTGACCTTGAGCCATTCCTTCGCCTCAGCCTCCAGAGTGCTAGGATTACAGGGCGATTGAGCTACATGCCCGGCTCTGAAATTATATTTTTTGGTATGTGGTCAAAATTCGTTATTTTCCATATGGACACGACCAGCACCTCACCCACGTATACTGAAAAGACACACTTTTCCCTTCGCAATGTCGCAAACCACATGACTGTCTAACACAGTCACCTCGGAGATATATCGGCTCAGGTTCCAGATCACTTGCAATAAGCAAATATGCAATAAGGAGTCCAAAATGTTTGGTTTCCCAGTACACATAAAAGTTTATGTTTATACATCACTGTAGTCTATAAGTGTGTAAAGATTAATATATCAATATACATACTTTAAATTAAATATTTTTATTGCTAAAAACACTGGCACAGAGGCACAAAGGAGGCACATGCTTTGGAAAAATGGCACCATGGAATTGCTTGATGCAGGGTTGCACACCTTTCAATCCCACCAGAAGATGTATTCTGCAAAGTGAATGGAAGTCTGAAGTGCAATAAAGCAAGGTATCAGCATCTTGGACTCTATTCTGTTCGGTTTGTTTACTTAATATCCTTCACAGATAACCTTGATATCTAGTCACATGTTTTCCATCCTTGTTCTTTGTCTCCAAGGTTGCCTTGGCAATTCTTAGCAGAGTGGCTGTACCATCTTATGATCTCTAGCAATGTGTGAGTGAACTAACTTCTCTGCATCCTTTCTAGCTTTTGACATTCTCTTTTTTTATTTTAGCACTTGTGATACATCTGCAGCAGTATCTCATTGTAGATTTAATTTGCATGTCTAGAAAGGTTAATGAGGTCGAGATGTTCTCATGTGCTTATCTACCACTGTATGTCCTCTTCAGTGAAATGTCTGCTCACATCTTTTGCCTATTTTCTAATGAGATTGTGTGTTTCACACTGCTCACTTCTGGAAATTATTCATGTATTCTAGATACAAGTCCTTTATGAGGTTCCCATGTGGTTTGCAGATAATTCTGCCTATCTGCAGTTTGTCTTTTCATGCTCTTAAGGGTATCGCACAGAGCAAAAGTATTTGATTTTGGCCAATTTTCCTTTTATGGATTATGCTTTTGATGTCAAGCCTAAGAATTCTTCCTCTAGTTCTAGACCCAAAGCTTTTATTCTACTTTTTAAAAAGTTTTATACTTTTACTTTTCACATTTAAGTCCATGATCCATTCTGAGTTAGTTTTTGTTGGGGTGAAGTTCACGTTGAGGTTCACTTTTTTGCCCACGATGTCCTGTTGTCCCAACACCATCCTTCACAGAATTGCATTTGCACCGTTGTCAAATGCAGTCATGCATCATTTAACGACAGGGATATGATGTTCTGAGAAATGAGTCATTAAAGTGATTTTGACGTAGAGTGCAGTTATCGGGGATTCAAGATGTCCCCAGTAAAGATAGGGTCCCCTGTCAGACTGTGTTGCAAGAGATGAGAGAAACAGACACAGACACAAAAATAATAGTTAAGAAAGCAGGCAGGTCAGGGGAGACCACCAGCACTCCGGCACCAAGGTGGCAGTGACTGAACCCCAGCACTTGCTTTTTATTCTCTCTGCCATGTTGCAAAATACAATGATCTCATGTCAAAAAATCATGGGATACAATGGTCAAAGGTTTCAGGGCTTCCCCCAAAATCACAAGGTGTCCTAGCTAATTTCCTTCTCCTTCCTAGAAGTGAAAAACACATAGTTCTTTAGTAGCTGTGATACATTTGATCAAGAAACAAAGAAACTACATGCTTCCCACTGGGAGACTGGTTTTACATTAACTGAGGCACTGTTGAGAGAAAGGGAGAGAAGGAACTTGGCCCAGTGTTCCAACAGTGGAAGCCTTAAGACCATTCTCCCAGGCTGACATATTGCAATCTACCTCTACAGCCATGAAAAGTTTTCATGACAGCCTGCCTGCGGCTTTTCATGCATGCGACCCCTTAGGCTCTCAGGTTGGAGCATGCTTTGCTGTACTCCCAGATCACTGACATATGTCCCCCAACTAGGCAGTTAACATCTGCCCTTATTTCAGGCTTCTGCTCAGGCACTTTCTTCACTTCCTCTCCTCTCACAGCTTCAGGCATAGCATCCTTAAGTTCCAGTGGTCTTAATCCCAACATACACATACACAAACCTCCATGCTATAGCCTATTGCTCCCAGGCTACACACCTGTACAGCAGGATACTGTACTGAATACTGTAGGCAACCATAACACAGTGGCAAATAATTGTGTATCTAAAGATCTCTAGACATAGGAAAGATAAATAAAAACACAGTATAAGATGCATGACTGTGTAAGTTCAGAGTATGTGTGTTGGTTTGTTTCTGTCTCCGCTGTTCTATTTCACTGATGCATGTGTCTTGCAATACTGTCCTCTCCATCAATGCCAATGATCTGGATTGACATCATTATATAGGAAACCTTAACACTGGAAGAGTGATTCATCCCACTTTAGTCTTCTGTTTCAAAATTATGGTGGCTATTTTAGAGTCTTTACATTTCCATATACATTTTATAGTAAGCCCATGTCTACAAAAAACTTTGCTGAGATTTTGATAGGAATTCCACTAAACCTATAGATTGATTTGGGAAGAAATGACAGTGCTATGTTGTTGAGTCTTTTGATCCATGAACACAGTACGTCTTTTCAATTATTGACGTTTTTGACTTCTTTCGTTGGGCTTTGGTACATTTTAGCAAACAGATTCTGACATGTGTTGCTAGATTTGAACCTAACTATTGTGTTTTCTTTTGGAGCAGTTGTAAATTCCGTAATTTATTTCAGTTTCCACCTGTCTGTTGTTAGCATATAGGATGCAGTTGATTTTTGTGTGTTGACCTTGTATCCTACAACCTTGCTGAACTCATTTATTAGTTTTCGGAGTTTCTTATAGATTCCTTTGAGTTTTCTATGTAAACAATCACATCATCTACACATAAAGACAGTTTTATTTCTTCCTTTCCAATCTGTCTGCAATTTATATTTATTTTGCTTTATTGCACAGGTTAGAACTTGCAACTTATACAACTCTCTTGTATAAGAGGAGAGAGCAGACACCCTCTCCTTGTTTTCTACTTATGAGGAAAGTACTCAGTCTTTTACTATTAAGTGTGATGTCAGCTGTTTTGTAGCTATGCTCTGTCAAGTTGAAGCAGTTCCTTGTTAGCCTTTTCTTGCTGAGAGGTGTTTTGTTTTTATCATAAATAAGCGTATGACTCTGTCAAATGCCTTTCTACATCAGCTGCTCTGATCATTGATTTTTTTTCTTCTTCAGCCTGTTGATAAGGTGGATCACACTGGTTGATTTTCAAACATCAGATGAACCTCAGATACTTTAGATAAATCACCTTTGGTTCTGGCATAGTATTTATTTTATATATTGCTGGATTCGATTTGCTACCATTTCGTTGAAGACTTTTGTGTTATGATTTTTGCTTCTATCACCAAATGGGATTTTTTAAAAACTCAGGAGGCAAGGGACAGTTTACTATATTTCTTCCTATCTTATCCATTGTATCGTTCTTCCTTCTGAAGTGCCCAGCCTTCCCGTGTGGTTTTCTCTCTGTGAGGAGGGCTTCCTTTAGCCACATGGAAAGGGGGAAGAGAGAGTCTGCGGGGAAACAAAATCTGTTAGTTTTTTTCCTCCCCACTCCCATCTCTCCCCAGGGCCATCCCTCCCCTCCTTCCCACTCCCATCCCTCCCCAGGGCCATCCCACCCTCCCTACTCCCATCCCTCCCCAGGGCCATCCCATCCTCCCCAGTCCCATCCCTCCCCAGGGCCATCCCCTCCTCCCCACTCCCATCCCTCCCCAGGGTCATCCCACCCTCTCCACTCCCATCTCTCCCCAGGGCCATCCCTCCCCTCCTTCCCACTCCCATCCCTCCCCAGGGCCATCCCATCCTCCCCACTCCCATCCCTCACCAGGGCCATCCCTCCCTTCCTCCCCACTCCCATCCCTTCCATCCTCCCCACTCCCATCCCTCCCCAGGGCCATCCCATCCTCCCCACTCCCATCCCTCCCCTCCTCCCCACTCCCATCCCTCCCCAGGGCCATCCCATCCTCCCCAGGGCCATTCCATTCTCCCCAGGGCCATCCCATCCCTCCCCAGGGCCATCCCATCCTCCCCAGGGCCATCCCATCC